TTGTTGAAATGGTCATTTCTGCCCACTGATTAATAAGGTCCTGTGATTTGTTTGTGTCATGGTTTAAGGACACAAACTGAACCCAGGACAGTTTGTAGAGCAGTTTTTTACAAGAGGAGAGAATACAGGCAGTTATCTTCCCAAATGAGGATCCAAGTGAGCATACTGACAACCACCGTTCCAAAGGCTGGAAAAGCTAGGTGATTTAGGTACCAGTTTTATTGTTATCTTAGCCTGTTAAATGTTCAGCATGGCAAGATGTCAGCACACAACCTCCTCCTGACTGTCCTCTGTTCACTTGAGAGCTTCAGTGGAGAATGACATACTCACATGCTTTTAGGTTAGAGGCTAAACAGAAACCAGTAACGTTCTCCTTGGCTTATACTTCAGAACAATTCTGAACGGGATAAAGGGAATATATTTACGATGAACCAAATTCTGCCTCTTTTCTACCTAGTTCCTCCTCCCACATATTCTCTGTGACTGCCACAGGCCCAGACCCCAGCAGAGAGGTGCTGAGGAGCTGGCAGTGGGGTCAGGGCCTGACCCAAAGCATCCTCACCTAGTCACCTCCCCTGCCAGGCTCACGCTGTGCCTGTGCTGGCACATTTAGATACTGCACCCATGTAGGGTAAATAACTATATCTGAAACTAGGTCACCAACCTGCCAGGAAAGCACCAAAACAAATGCTGCACTTCTCACCCAAGTGTTCTAGCTAATAAACCCCCATAACATCTTCTACAGATGGGCTTCTCTCACCGCTGCATCAATCATCAGGGTGGCAGCACCATGACCACCAAGCTTACAAGGCATTTCCAAAGGACTTTTGTTATGATAGATTTCTTTTTCCAGGCTGAAGCAAGTAGGGGATGCTTTAAAGTCTACTCCTCAGTAGGATCTTAAAAGCACAGCAAAGACTGTTTTCAAGCATGCTTTACTTAAATCTCGGGAGGGGGAGAACAAGGTAGCGCTGCCCTTGAACTCTGTAGGGCAATGTGAGCTGGGGATGCTATGTTGGTTAGGACCAGCTCTGGCTGGGTAGCTGGAATGCACTTTGCCCGGGCAATTCTTAGCCCTTCCCACTCCTAAAAGACATCAAATTCCAGGAATCTCACAGCAAAGTACAAAGATGGTCCTCCCTCTGGGTCAAGCTGCCAAGGAGAGTGCCTAACAGGAGAGGGATCTGCCTCGCTACACCATAGCAGAAGGGATGTTTACTTTGGGTTGTTTTTTGTCATGCATTCTGAAAGGGTATGGTAGGATATCGTGAACGACATCACAAACTTTCAAAATGCATTTGAAAAAGGCACATTTACAATAAAGCATATATCTAATTATATGATACCATATATATATAAATACACTTTCTCAAAATCTCCAGCTGCCCTAGACCGCAGGACACGACTGCCATCCATTTTTGTTTTCAACTGATACTAAGCCAAGCTAAGACTCCAATTTCTGGCATCAAAGCCAATTACATCACACTTTTCCTCAAATCCCACACTGAGTTTAGGCAACTCTGGTGTCAGAGCAGCCTCCTTTCCCCCTCCTCATCACATTATAATGCACAGCAAGAGTAAAGGAAAGGAATATTATCTAGCAAAGGAACTGTATTACTGTGGCTCCTGTCCTTGGCACCTTTCCCTAAATTATCTCCAAAGTTTCTTTCTGGAGGAAGGAGTGTCTGTTGTCTGGCTTCCTTCAAATATGAAAGAGCAAACACAGGATGAAGGCAACACTAATAATGTCTGATAAAGAGCCAGTTTTGAAGGGTTTGTTTAATTCCTGGCCTCCTCTTCTGCCTGACAGCCCCAACTTAGGAATGCCCTCGTAAACAGAAAGAAATTTGGGAATTCCTGAAATTGAGAATTTCTTCCCCTTGCAGTAAACATACTTCAGTTCCACGTGGCCGTTTGTTTCTACGTCACACGGTAGAAACCCCCACAATTAAAAAATTAGGCCAATTAACAGATTTTGATTCTTTCTCCCTAATACAGAGCAATAGAGGTTAATGTCTAAACACATTTCACATCACAGATGGAAACACTTCTTAAGGAGAATAAAATTGTTTTAATCCCAGAAGTTACCGAGTAAAGAGCTGGCTTTACTGAAAATGCTATATATTTTGATGTGCACTCATAACTGACTGCAAAGAGGTGGCTGTAAAATTCATTTGCCATAACAGCAGATACATAGGTAATGCCCTTTGCTCCAAGAATATGGATCATACCAAGAGCAGAATAAGCAGTCACACTTCTATTGAAATTAGTAGGCTTGTAATACTCCAAGTTGAGTCAGACTCTCGTCATTTTTGATGTAAAACGAAGCGAAAGGGTTTACTGGCAGGGATGGGTGCAGAAATAGCGCCTTTTTTTTTTAATGAAAATGGGGAATGTTCACAAGAATTTGCAAATGCATGTTTTTAACTGGAAACCTGATTCCATGAATTTCACAAGAGCCCAATAAAAATTAGGCAGGTTTGATTTCCAACACCAAATACTTAGAACAAATGGATCCACAGGCCAAGGATTATCTACTGAAATTCCTAGTAGACTCTTGAATGACTAATGAACTCGACAAAACTCAAGAGCTTTTCTTAGAAATCTGCGGAGAACAAGCAAGCGGAAAAAAATAAAAATCTCTGAGGCCTCATTTTGCACACTTCTGTGTAGGGAAAACTGCTTGAGATAAAACCCTCCAGTGATTTTCAGTAGTAAGCAAATGCCAAAATCAATGCTAGCCCAAAACGCTGTTAAAAAATTGAACTAGAATTTAATCTTTTTCTTTTCCGTAGCTCTAGGGTGAAAAACTTGACTGAGTCTTCAGAAAAGGGCATTGATTTAATGCAACCCCTCACCTTCTTGTTCTCCGAAAGACACAGTTTTTGGAAGATAGCTAAACCAGTGTCTCTTCTCACTAACTCCCCAGTTCTCTGTGCCTATGATAACAGGACATAGGGTGCTCAGATACATATCTCACGTATTACCATTGGAACAAGAAGTTGAGCTTAACTGAAGCCAGCTACAAAACCACTGAGCCTCCCTGTTTGATATTTTAAACACTTACAGAATATACACCACAGGAGGTATCAATGAATCATCAATGAATGAAAGTGCATACTAACAAACTGCAGATGTAATTGCAGCCAACTTACTTATGGATACACAAGAGATTATTCTCTGCCTTTCCCGTATTATGGTGCTTTCCTAAACACAGGCAGAAGTTGTTAACGCTTTTTCCCTAGTGCTAACCATTCCAAGAAACCATAGCCTGCGTTCTTTCCACTGACCACAGAGGGGAGGATAGAACGTTGTCCCCCAGAGACTGAAAGAGATTGCCGGCAACCCTTTTCTCTGGCTCAAGCACATGTCTTCCTGGAGGTGCATGCAAACTGACTGAACTTCAAGTCCAGCAGCTCTCCCTTTGCACATTGTTCTGAGATGACTTTTCCCACCTCAAAAAGCAAGCCCTCTTTTCTGAATTTCCAAGCACATCCTGATGCAGAACATGGCCAGCTGCTTCCTAAGCCAACCTTCATGGCTGCAGAGAATCAGCCATAAGGAATAAAAATGATGCCTTCCAGCATCTCCCCTTTTTTTCCCCTGCACAAGCTCCTTTGATTGCACCATGCACAAGAAAATAAGAATGATCTGGAGGATGGCAGTGGTTCATTTGCCTGACTTTCCTCTACATTAAGATGAAGAAAGAAGGAGGGGGAGGCGCCCAATGACATTAAGAACAATGTTGGGAATAGGTCTTTAAATCTGTCTCTCCAAAGCCCGTATATTCCCAGCCTTCATAGCTCTCACATTACACAAGATGACATTTCTCTCCATATTGTATTATAATTAATAGGCTACTGCAAGACTTTACCAGCTCCTACTTAATAGCATTTCAGTGCTGGGAAGCAGTCATCAGGTAATCTGGCCATGATCTACTGTATCCTTTCTAAACACAGGTTCTAGCTGCCAAGAATGTCACCATAAAAAGATTTCAATCAATACCACTCAGCTCCTACTTTCAAATGCTCCAGGTCTAGGAAGAGAAGAAGAAAAAAAACCAGTACCCTCAAAACGAACAGCAAACTGGCATATGCATCGAGTGCGCAGATTGAAGCGAGCAGATGGGAATTCATCATGGCCTGATCTTGCTCTCTCTTTTACACTTTAGTAACTTTATACTTTGGAAAAGGTCTCACCAAGCGCATGGAGACCGTGTGCATGGAGGGGGTTAAAACCATGCAGATCTTTCCATTCTCAAGCTGTGTTCTTGTTGCCAAACAACAACATTTCAATTGTGATTGGTACAAACAGTTGGGTTTCAATGGCAATCTGTCATGTAGGTTTAAGCCCAGTTTTTACTGATGCAACCTGCAACTTGCTGGGTGGTTGCTGGCTTTGTTATTTACTGGGAGAGAAAGAAAGGAAACAAAACAGATTGGAGGTCTGATGTTTGTTTTTTGCTCTTGTCCAGTCTACAGTTCAACGACTTACTCTGAAGTCTGTTTCTCCATTTGACTTCCCAGTGAAATTAATAAAATAGGAATAAAAAAGAAATCTGCAAGTCCAAATCAAAGCACAACACCTGCATCTCCATGTATCACTTTCTGAAGAAGCAGGGAAGGTGCTATCTGCTCATTTGCAGGGATACTGTGCTCTTCAAGAGCAAAGGCTATGCAGCAAAACCTGCAAACACTTCCACCCCTAAATTAAAGTAGAACTGATGACTTAAAACCAAAAGGAACTCACTGGTTCAGCAGATTAGCAAATAAGATGTCAACGAGAGAATAAATGGTAAAGGCTCGGCTTCTGAAGCAGCTGGGGTAGTTCCATTAAATTCAGTGGGGCTAAGGGTACGAATGCTGGCCAAGGATCCAGTTCCTAGCTTTTTCCCTGCTGCAAGTCTTAGTTTAGGCTGCTGCCAAGAGGTTAACACTGTGATAATAGATTGAGAAAGTATTATATAACTATATATCTATATATACCTATATTTAAAGGAACACTTTGCTACTTAGGACTTCTGTCATCTTAAAATCCGTAATTAAAAAAAAAAAATTATTTCAGAAAAGCAGCAGAACCTCTTGAGTAAACTATAGACTCTCTCACCCACTCCTAGCCCAGTTACTGTCCTAGAAGCAAGTGTAAAAGTTATTTCTAAATGCTATTCCTTAAAACACAGGGTGCAACTAAATAAGTAAGGCTCCCGAGGGTCTCTAAGAAGCCAGTGACTCAATACATAGGCATGGAGTAACAGCAAATGAACAATTCTAAAAAAGGTGCTTCATAAGTTAAGGAAAATAAAAATACAAAGCCTCAGACTTACCACAGAAGGCCCTCAGACTTATGAAACTAAACTGCTGTAATGTGGTACAGTGTTAAGACATACATTTTGGTTTTATTTTTTTCTTTAAATTTACATTCTAGAGGGGCAATACACACTGAACCCAGGAAAACAGTTCACCCTAGAAAGTAATTTTGAAAGGAACATTGACTTTCATTAGTGCTCCTAAATCACTAACAGTTTTGCTTTAAAAATAATTGTTCATCCTGCAGAATAAAGATCCCCCTCTCTCCTCCAGCCATCGAAACCCCGCATTGTATCTACACATTTGGAAAAGGCTCTCCTCTGAAATGTTTCTACCTATTTGTCTGAAATTGTAAATGAGTGGCATCTTGTCAGGACTTTAAAGCACCTAGCAGAGTGAGTGATGTCCCAGAACAGGACATGATGTACAGCTGATTGATAAAGAAACAGGCTGCCTTTGAATTCCCACTGAAAGCAAGGTGGGCCACTCACCAAAAAGTGATGGCAACAACAAACCCCTCTTTTATCCCTTCCCTCTCTTCTTTCCATTCTTAAGCTGGGCAGAGCAAATGAGGTTGGGTCCACAAAAAAATAAGGTTAATAATAATAATAATTAAACAACAGCAACAACAACAACAGCAACAACAACAAAATAGGTGTCTCAATGTCTGAGGAAAAGTGGGATTGTAAGTGCAGTATTTCTTCATGTGCAGTTCTTCTACTTCATACAAGTCCCCTTTGGATGAGAAGGCCTAGTGGAATGTGTGCTCTCCTCGGACTATGTGCGATGAGAACTCATAGCGGTCCTGGCTTCGGTAGCCACAGATGTTGCACTCTAGTGGGTCCCGGTAGCCATGGCAGCCCATGTGGATGGTGTACATGACATGGTCCAGGAAAAGGACGCGACAGTGCTCACACTTGAAAGCCCTAATCTGCTCCCCTTCTCCATTGATGACTTTGTAGATATCCTTTAAAGAGCCCTTAGAAGCTTTTGTGGCATCCAAAACCTTGGTGTCCTCCTTCATATAAGCTGGGCTTGGCTTTCTCTTGGGATTTAAGGCAGAGTTTCCTTGGTAGGACTGGCGGTCTTCGTGGCTGCTCTCTGAGTCAGTAGAATCCAAGCAGCTATTGCTGGGGGAGCCCTCTCTATCCTGGGTTCGACTCTTTGGTCTGATGAGGGAGATCGGGCCATCCATGTTGTTCTCATGACTGTCAGCTGTTTCCCTGCTAATGGGCCTTTCTATCCTGTTAGGATGATAGACCTGAGCATAAGCTGAGCTGATGACGGGGGCCACCTCTGCAATTGTGCTTGGTGTGTGCTGCATCAGGGGGTGAAGTGCCTCAGCTCCAAGGTAGGTGATTGCATTGTTGATGGCTTGGTCCATCATGTGAGACTGCATTAGCTCAGCCTCCTTCTCATAGGTTAGGTTCATATCAAAGGGAATATCTGGATAGCCAAATCTCATGAGCTTTTCACCTAAGGGACAAGAGCAAATGAATGAGACAAATCAATGTAATCACTCCAAGGCTTCACTGTAAAAGAGGTAGTGAGGGGAAGAATTTCACTCTGAAATTCACCCTGACTTGGGGCAAAATTCATTTCTGAGTCCCAAGTTAGCCTCCTTCTGCTTCACAGCTGACCTCCTATAAAGTTTCTGTTCTGAGATGGATAAAATAGCAACTTCATCAACAACTTGTTTTGGTTATTTTTTTTATTTTTTTTTTTTAATTTCAGGTGAAGAATGTGACTGCAGTGACTTCCTGACCAATTGACTGTGTCTGCGCTTTGGTTAGAAAATACATGTTAATTGGTAAAAAATGGGATTGAACCAAGGTCATTGAAGCTTTGCTGGTTTATACCATTAGACATAGTCTCCCAAAATTAAAGGAGGCAGTGCCACATGTCCCCTGCACTCTGAGGTGCCTCATACATACCTTACAACAGGGCTGCATAGCAAGAAACCTGAGCAACAGGTACAAGGGCACCTTTAGAGCTGCAATATTTAAATCCTTCAACTGGCAGAAGAAATGTCAGTAAAATGAGACAGAAGAGAGCAAGTAATAGGAGCCCTGGGGGTGATCTGCCATCTCACAGTCAAGCTATGGTATGTTTGTAGTTCTCCCCCACAAAAAGAAAAAAATCCTATCCCAATATTTTGGTCTGAGAAAAAGACATAGCGACCACCACCACAGTGCCTGCTTAGGCAAGAAAACAAAATACAGAAACCACAGTCTATAGCTTAGTGTCTTTGGTAAAAGGCAAAAGCAACTTTAATTGACACAGGTTAAATACATACATAATGATGATGAAGCTGGCTCATGCGAAACCAAATTCACATCCTTGTAACTTTTTAAAATCAGTGGCATTACTGATATGCTGGTAAATTATGCTAGTTGTAGGGCACGTTACCTACCTATCACACCTGTCCTTTGAAGTTAACAATTTACTATTACTTCCATCAGGGCTCAGCTCAGCAGCACTGCTTTTCCCGTGATGGCTTTAGAGTGTCAGTTAAAGGAAAGTTCATATAACAGCAACTCTTCTTTTTAAATAGAAAAGGTTGTAGGCATAACTAGATCTATAGGATATGCATGCTCATATGTGTTCACAGACACAAATATTAGCTAGTTGTTGACAGTTAAATTTTTAAGCTGATTTGACAAAGTCTGATAAATAATTTGGTTTTCATTGTCTTTGTTACTTCTCACTGCCTTGGTACATAAACCTGTCCTTTCTTCAGTAGCATAAGCTAATACATTCAAGGAGTCACTTCAGACAACAGGGGTTTGACTATCCAAGAATTAAAAAACTCAAGAATCTTCTATCACCTTTTGCCAAAATTGCTTGGAACAAAATATATAAACCACCATGAGAAAGAAGCAGAACTGCAATTCCAAATCTCTTCCAAATAGCATTAGTACATTTCAACATAGCTATCACTCAGCATTTTATTCTTGACTATAATAATTCATTCCACTTAATGTGGCTTATCTTAAAATCATGCATAAAGAAATAATTTAACATTACCCACAGAACAATCATGTTATCCTTGGAGATGATGCATAGCTTTTTGCTTAGGAACTTAGTCCTGATTAGGAAGGTAATTAAATGCAAGTCTAAAGGAAAGCACATAAATATTCCTACTCTCTTCAGCAATACTGCTCACATGCTTCTGACTAGACACCATGTTCATGTACCTCACTGAGTTTCCCTATGGTTGGCTGTGAGAAAGTACAAGGTAGAAAATTATTTCTTTGTTACACACAAGGCATTTGGAGAAAAATAGGGAAGGAAGGACAGGAGCAAATGGTCCTAAAGCAACGGCCTCCTTAATCTAACATGATGCAACAGTGATTTTTGCCATCAAACATCCTCCTTTCAGCAAATATGTGAATCTGCTTCATGTGATCAGCTTGAAGATCGTTACTTTCAATTTCACTAGTGTGTGCTTCTCCCGTCATTGAAAGAAGTTACAGTTTCTGCCTCCACTGTTTTCAACAGGTTTGGTAAGACCTGTATCTCAACAGTGGATATATAACCAAATCTCTCATTCAGAAATTAACTCTATTTGCTGTGTGCTGCTTCCTTTCCTTACCTTCCAAAATTTCAGCCACAGTAGAGACAGTGGTCCAAACCCAATGTCCCTTGGAGACTGCTGATCAGAAAGAGCAGTAAAGTATTGATAGACGTAGCATGCAAAGATTTTAGCTTATGCTTACATGGCCTTCTCATAAACACCATTAAGTTGTTTTGGACATGTGCCACACTTGCAGTAGGCACAGGAAAATTTCCTGCAAGCAAGAGAACCATTACAAGTTCTTCCTGACAGAGTTGAACAATATTTCACTGGGCAGAAAACGGGAAGAAAAGTGAGGTCATGGTGAAAAAAAATAATAAAGGAACTAAGTGGAGACCGCTATTATTAATTTCAAACACTGTGATGCCATGAAAGACCAGAAAAGGCAGAAAAATAAGACACAGTAAATATTAAAGAGGACACTTTTTCCCTGCAGCTGGATCTGGATAAAAAGCTGCATGTCACATAAACCCCTGAATTAAAAGCCCCAGAAAATGGAATATCAGAATGATTTGTTACACCTATAGAAGAAACAAGTTTATCTAGCACCAAAGTAGTATACTCTACTGAAGAGAATAATAATCTGCTACAGCATATCTCAGGCAAGGATTTCCAACCAGTTGAAGTAGGTTTATAATGAGCAAACTATATTGTTTATGGGAGTAGGCTTGGGTACACCAGGATTTAAGGGAAGAAAGCAAGGTCTCCAGCCCTCCCAGATTAAGTCTCTTGCCCCTGCAAAGATAACCGTGAGAGGTATTGCAAACAATTATGTTCACATGCGGACAACCTGGGGGGTGGGAATGAGTGAAAGATGTGAATTGCCCTTCTTCATTTTGAGGCTGTAATATTTCTGAGGTCTGACAGTTTAAATGTCAGCCTGGTTAACTAATACCACTGTTGATCACAACCTGCAAGAACATACAGTACTTGCTGAGGCAACATTAGGGAAACTTGCTATGATGGGGCCATGTTTATAGTCTCATAAAGCTGTATTTGGTTTGTCAGTAGAATTCTGCTCCCATTTCCCCCCTCTTCAACGCTGTTGTCACAGCTGTAAATTAAATGAAAATATAAATCCTCCAGTTCTCATCAGCTAAACAGTAATCCATTTCAGACCACTTTTAAAGACAACAGTCTAAGGATTAAGCTTTTCTATCAGAAGGACTAATTACAATATAGGAAACACTGACGTCCACCAGCTTTCCTTGTGTGGGTTGGATTGCTCCTGACCTAACCTTGGCTTAGCACTGATATTTGGGAATGGTCAGATGACTGAGAGCAGCCAGGTCAGTGTGTCAGTACCCCTCAGGTGAGCTGCTGCATGCTGCTAGCCCCCTACTATTCAAAACCATGTAGGTTAGCTGAAAACCACCTTCAGTGGTGATTTAACAAAACCATCTGAATCTGCATTTAGCTGAGGGGCAACAACTTTTCTAAACGGTTGTGTTAATTGCTTACAGTGCTCTCATCCTCTCTCCATAAGTGCCCTCAGTGTAGGTAAAATGACTATGTGACAGCCTTAAATTTTGTACAACTGTCCTTCCAGGGAGTGAGTGTGGAAAATGCGTATTACATGACTTTGGAGTCTAGCAGCATACACTTACCCCAAATAATTCTATGTCCCAGCTCCTCTCCTAAGAAGTTTAGCACTGCCTCAGCAGCAGTAAAAAGAAGCTTTAAGTTACCGCTCAAGCCAAGTAAATTCCTCACACTGTCTCCTGTTAGAAGCTGAACAATTTTAAGATGTCAAGACACAAAGCAAAACATGAATTTTTGGCCTAGGGGTCTAAATTTGGTAACAAAAAAATCATCCAGTGGTTTATATTCATGCCTTAATAAGTTTATTGTGTGCAGAACACTGCACTTGGAGCAAGCAAAGGAAGTGATGTGATTTTACTTCCTCATTCTGGTATTATCAGACCAGTTGCTACCAACTCTCAAGAATGTAATACAAGTCTTGAGATACTTGTTTTTTTAATACACAAACACACACACACACACACACACACACACACACATATATATATGGAGACAGATAATTATATGAGAATCTTAGTTTTTATTTGCTGGGGCAAAGACAAGATAAGTATAAACCTCAAGAAGGACCAGAGAAAAGTTTAAAAAAACCAAAACAGCCTTAAGGCACAGTAAAAAGCTCAAGATTTTCTAAACCACTTTCATTATTCTGGGGACCTCACTTTTGAATTCTCTGGGTTGGTAAAACTAATTCTATAATTTTCAGGGTTTCTTGCAGCTATTTAACCATCTCCATTGTTGTCCTTCCCCATCACAGCCAAGTTCTGAGAGCACTACTTTTCCCCTCGTTCTTTTGGCTATTGCAAACAAGTAACCTATACCTACATACTAAAAATAATAAAAGGCGTATTTCAAGCTTACCCACAAACTTCTGTGGGGTGGAGCTTTTACGCTTTCCCATGTTGCTTGTCAGCTTCTCTATAACAGCAGGTCTCTCAAAAGGCACCAGAGAAATATTGTTGTCCATCACAGGCTCTTGTTCCTTACAATCTTCCATAGGAGGTACTACATAAAACCAAAAAATCATATCAGACAAGTCTGGTCTACACTTCACAGACAACACAAATCATTTGAGCCCTGCTGATTGCCCAACAAGTGCAACACGAAGTAAAGCAAGGTGCAAGGACACACTGGGCATCAAGAGAGCAGTCACATTTAAGCAGAGCTACATTTACAAAATGCCTTTCTTTGGGACCATCTTACTTAGCAGAAGCCCAAATTTAAGCATTTACTAAAGGACTTGATTTGTTCTGAATACTTAAGACACCCAGTGAGGAAGGTACACTTCTGAAAACTCACTCTGCAGATGACATTTTCTGTTACTCTCCGTTCAATATCGTTGCCTGTTGTCAATGTAACTTTTTAGTTATTCTTTGTGTAGTCCTTTAACTTCATGCTTAGCGTTCTTATTTTCTTTATGCACTAATCTCTATGACTAAAACAACTACAAGGCGTTGATGACTTGTGTTTCCTGGGCCTGGCTGTGCATTCCCCAAGACAACAGCTCCCCAAATGAAGGATCTATTCATTAAAGTGTGTTTCCCCATTCTATACATGAGATTGTAAAATCAACAAACACTGAACAGGAATTACAGGACTTACAGGAATTACATTGTATGGAAATTCCCTTCAGAATCACTTGCAGAAACTATCAATTTTTTTATTAATATATGACTGTAGTGATAGGACAAGGGGTAATGGGTTCAAACTTAAACAGGGGAGATTCAGGTTAGATATAAGGAAGAAATTCTTTACCTTATGAGAGTGGTGAGGCACCAGAGCAGGCTGCCCAAAGAAATTGTGAGCACTCCATCCCTAGCAATGTTCAAGGCTAAGCTGAATGAGGCTTTAAGCAACCTGGTGTTGTGGAAGGTATTCCTGCTTATGGCAGGGGGGTCGGAACTAGATGATCTTAAGGTCCTTCCCAATCCAAACCATTCTATGATTCTATGTTTTATCCCTTCAAACAAGACCTAACAGCCTGTGAACACAAGACTTCTGTGTCTGTCTTCACATTTCTGGGGATCAGCAGGGAGCATTCCTGTGCTACCTGTTAGGTGAATGCTCATACATTGTCTTCATGGTAATAAAAAGAAATCAGTGACCCATTCTGTCTTTACTCGTTTCACTCTTTGTTGCTTGTTGGGTTAGGGAATAAGGTGCTAGAGCAAAAGAAGTATAACACAGACTTCTCACCAGGGGAGTGACCAACCTGCACGGGGTTTTATGTCAATTGCTGACATACACAGGTACTCACTAAATACCTACCAAGTGCTCCACATTTGCGGAACAGCCAACACCACCTAAACACCAAAAAGAGGCAGTGGTACTATGCTGCAGATCAGGCCTTGAGAGTTTGAGTCATTTGCAATATCTGACAAGTGTGATTCGATGTGTACCTCTGCTCTGCTGCCATGAATTTAACATATGGCCTAATTGTCCCTCATACACCTTCAGAAGGTAACAAGAGAAACTTGAGAAGAATCAGACACTGGCCCATGTGCTAATGGGAAGGTTGAGGTCCAAAAACTATTTCATGAGAAACTGGGATGACCTTGCCCAGAGTTCCTACAATCTGTAAACTGCGAGCAACCCATGCATTCTCTGAATGAGATAAATCTGCCAGTGAAGTCTCAGGTGGTATTGCAGAGGTAGCAGAGGAGGACTGAAACCCATGTCTTCTGCTAGTCCTCTTCTGGTCTTTCACCTTAGTAGCCTTGTGTGTCACAGGCACCTTCTCCCTCAGACTGTGCCATAAATGAACACCACCAGCCTACTTTCCTCCCATGTAAATTTACTACCTTAAGGATCCTAATATGGAATAATCACTCCCCTGTTCTTCAACAGGCAGCTGTTTGCTAGCACATAATAAATGAAAAATGGGGTGATAAAAGTCTTGTCTTTGCCTTCTTTCTAGTAAGGAAGAGCAAATACCAGGCAATTACAAAAGAGAGTATCTGCTCAGGTGAACTTCTCAATTCAGACGTTCATAATAAGAAAACATGGCAAGTTTTTCATTTTATTCCATTTGTGCCTCTGCTGCTATGGAAAGCTGAGTTCTTTGAGACTTAGAATCTACCATATGCTATAAAATGATTTACTCTGCTGCTTTTTTATTTGTAAAGGATGCTCCCCCTGAGAAACACAATGGTATCTCATTTACAAGGCAGTCCTGCTGGCTTCAGTGAAAGAAAGGAAGAATAAGCATAAATATGAAATGAATCTAATGTTGCAACAAAATGGGATGCAGTGTTCAAGTGACCTAATAAATGCCCAGTGCAGACCGGGAGGTCTGGAATACTCTAATATCTAAGGCTAAATTTTTAAGGTTATTTAAATACCATGCTTGGGCAGGAGCTATCTGCACTAGTTCTACATAAGTATTTACCAAGGAGATTTGGGAAGAAAGGAAAGATTATGTCTGTTGATTTTCACTGGGAACTGGCATCTGACTGTCCTTTGGCTTACCAAAAGCCCAGTGTATGTGTGCAAATGCATGCACACTATGTGTGAAACCCTGGATCCCTGCTCAGTGGCAATATCCATCCTTACTGTGATGGGCCAAGTCTGCAGGTGAGTGCCACTTCAAGGATTTCCAGGCCTTGGTGTACAGGACTTAGGAAAGTGCAGAGGGCTTTAAATCCCTCCTAGAAAGACCTGTTAAAGGCACATTGGCTTTATAGAGCTGCACCTGCCAACAAAATCAATTGAAAACCTCCTGACTACTTTCACAGTTGTCTGATTAAGCCCCAAATGTAGTGACATTTGTATGTCTCATAGCAATTAAGTAATAATTAAATAATTCTACTGTTGGGCATATGTGTGTAAAATTGCATATACAGAATTTGAAACCTTTCTTCCATGAAAAATGAATAGTGCTAAAAAAGACATCTGCTCTTCTCTAAGTCAGGCAGAAATTCTGCTTGGACTCCTTTTAAAAGTAAAATCATCACCAATAAAAGCATTTTCTTCTCTTTCATGATGAAAGAACTTTTTCCACCTCAGAACTCAATTCTATAATCCAGAGCATGGCTCTATTTCAACAGAATCACACTGATATTTCTGTTGTGATGGGAGTAAGTTACTAGAATGTGTTTTGTGATACAGATTTCCTGGGAGAAGGGAAAACCGGAAATAGTCAAGTTTTTGAAAGCATTTAAATTGCATGCAAAACTGGACCAAACAGGTGAGATGTCACATTTTAGAAACCCAAAGACTTAAGCTAAAGCTCACATCGTCAATTCTAGACACATTCACTTTCTTTTCAATTTAAAAATATACAAATGAAGGACAAATAGTTCAGCCTGCATCTTTTATTTTTCTTTCTTTTTCTGAGGAAAAACAGAATGAATGAAAAAAGAGAAAACCAAACAGATCACACACAGACAACAGTTATCACAAATCAGCTGCTCTGTGGTAGAAGCTCATGTAGTAAATGCAATTCCTTTTGCGTCACATTTCATCATATTTCATTACCTTGGTAATGGGAGCTACTGAAGAACAGCTGACACGTTATAACTAGCTTTGATACAGCAACTTATTTTATGCCTTGAACTTACAGTCTCAGCCCAGGAAGGCTTTTTTGTTCTAAAAGCCAAGCATCTAGTCCATGAAAAGCCCATACTCAAGTTCGTTTCTGTTCAAGGATGCTCTTGATCAGCTATCAGGGTGCACTCTTAGACTGCCCATGCAGATGTTCACCATCTTTTCAATTGCACTTATGTTGCTTCTAAGCCCAAATTCTCAATTCACTGGATGGCCTTCAGAACAAAGTCTTTATTTTCCTGAAGACACTGGTCTTTCAATCATAGTGCTTGAAGTGGCTCTCACTTAGGTTTTGCTTCTTAATTTGTAAGAAACCACACATACTATTAAAAAAGTTTTATGCTGTTTCAGTGAGGAAAGAATAGGGAAAAAAGAAGCAAGCAACATACATGGTGTGTGTTGTGCTGATAAATACTTTTGTGTGCAGACAACAGACACTGGGCTAAATCTCAGCTGGTATAAATTAGTATTACTCCATCAACCTCGATTTCCTTTCCTAAGCTCACAATATTGCTATCAAAAATGCGTGTGTGCACAGAGAAATGACAGGAAATATTCCCAGGGACCCTGGTGTGAAGCCTCCTGTGGGACCAGCATTTTAGTGATGTTTTAAGCAACTATTTAAGAGGGAAGGACACAAGGCCATTGTGTGTTTTATGTAGAGCTGGCCTTTGAGCCTCACATAGACTAGGGCTAGGCTTCTTTCTCCTTCTCCTAAAAAGAGTGTGCTTCTCCACTCCACTTTAAGAATTTCCCTTAGCTTTTTGCTTTGTGAAGATGAACATGTAACTGGATGTAAACCATAGCTAGCCTTCAACATTTCTCTGTTTGTTCCCACAAAGGTCATGTTTTTGGCATTCAGAGACTGTCACTTTAGTTACCCCCACCACGCTGCTAGCTAGGAGACCACAGACTAATTTCTACCTCTGGGGACAGCACTGCCAAGTCAAAAATTGCCAGGAAAGTGGGAGCTCTTGCAGTAGCCACCGTGCTGAGCAGGGAACAGGACATAGCCACAAGGAGGGGCAGCTCAGCAAGCAACTGGGCACCCTGCAAGAAGATGGAGAGAGACCCAGAGACTTCTACATTCCTACCCACACACTGAAACTAGCCCTCCTTTCCCGCCTATTGCTTCCCCCCATGGCTTTAGTTAGGTGATGTAGCCATCTGCAAGACAAAGACCTCATCAGGCTACAGTGAAAGCACCCAAGGAGATGTTTGTAGCATGCCTATAAACCCAACAACTTGAGCATTCAAACTGTCTAGAAAATTGTTCCAGTTTTCTGGAACAATTCATCTCCCCAGAAATAAGCTAGACTGATGTTAAATGTTGGCTATATTGGTTGAGACTTAGCACAGCGGCCTGCATACTTAAAGCACAATGCCCACACAGCTGAAAAATCCCCACCTCTACCTATTCTGTGCATAACGGTAAAGCTGTGACCAGGAGCCACACCAAACTGCATTCAAGGGCTTCAAAACACTCAGCAAGAAGAAAATACTTAAGTGTATTTGGAAAAAGAGTCAGAAAAAAATCCCAATGTGATGCAAAATCAACCAATGGTCAAAATCTCCAAAGCATACACTTACTCATCCTCTGCAATAGCTTCTCCATGTGCGAGATGGGAGAGAGAAAAATCAGTACATTTTTCAGCATTAGATTAAGACCTAACCTTAAGTTGAGTAATCATTTGTATTCTCCTCCCTGCTGACTTTATACTGCCAGGAGAAAGGACTCTGCTGCAGACGTCTACAGGTTGGTGCTCACGATCCTCTCTCCCATGCTGAGCTTCACAGGTGGGAGTGATGCTGGGATGTGAGGCAAGATTTATTCCTGGTCCCAACTGACTTTGGAGCTCCCTATTGCTGCCTGTCCTTGCTGTGCCCTCACTAAACAGCTAAACAAAGACAGTGGATCAAATATCCCCTTAAACATTCACCAGGGGAGATTTAGACATATTTGCCCGGAGGAGAAAGAGGCACTAGTTGAATTCAAAGTGCTGTTTTAAGCTAATTTTGTTGAGAAAAGTGGAGTGGTTGTGTGAACATTTCTATTTTAAGCCTCAGCAAAGTCAGTCAGGCTGTAAATAAAAGAACTGTCCACATGGGGTTTGCACTGGTTTAACTTCAGCTGGTAGAAAAATCAGTGCAAGATCAACCATTCCAGCTTCTCTGGATAGACAAAGCTAAGGACTTAGCCTTCTTGTCATAGCATTAAGCAGCTTAGAAAAAGCTTTAGATTTCCTCAGAAGTACACTATCAACAAAAGGAAACCTAATTTTAATATATAACTGAATAAAACCAAGAAGTTCAGAGGAATTTGGGAAGATGCTCTGCAACATGGTCTCTAAAGCAACCTGGCTGCCATAACTGCATTAGCTTTCTGTTATTCCTCTAAAGAAAGGCAGACTGAAATCACTGGCTAATAAAAGACTAGCACAACCTCAGAAAGAGCGTGTATTTTGTGGGGAATAGAGTTGGTGATTAAACTCCTACCATCAACTAACCACTCCATTTAACAGACTGTGCACACAACAGGTACCTGCAAATAGCAAAGCCCTGAAATCAGTCTTTCCACTGACTTTTACAAGCATAAAGTCAGGCCTAAAGCATATGACCACTAATTTAAATATCTTTAAAGTCATCCATTACATTTTAAATGTTGACTCTAGTCTCCAGGATTTCTACAAAGCTTGTAATTACCTAATACAGCTGTATGAACATTTAGGCAGCATGTATAAGATATATTTAGGATTAAATTCTTCATGGAAAAATACTCTGATTTTTCTTTTTGTGATCTTTCTCATCAGAAAACATTCCATATTATTTATGCTGAACAGATTTTGTTTCAGCTTGTACTTTTAGGTTTTTAAAAATGACCTTTCAGAACTTTTACATAATTAATTTCCAAATGAAGACACATGACTCCACTCAATAACAAAAAGCAAAATGGGGAGGAAAAAAAAAAGGAAACATTATTTTGCCTTTTCATTTACCTACAATCTAATTTTTCGTATTCTTAGGTATATGCTATTTTTTTATCAAAACGGAAAACATGTATTTTTTATATTTTCTGATTAGGTACCAAACATCTAAAGACAACTTGTAAAAGTTAAAAGATGTTCAGTTTTAGAACAGTTTCCAAGCCATTAACTTTGAATGAAACTGTAACAATTTATGGATAGCAATCATTTAGCATTTAGCGCTACAACCCTACAGTCTGAGACATTATGCTCATTACCCACACTGATAGCTACAGAAAATTTTGAAAACGAATTCATGGAGTTTGACATTTCTTGCTTGCAACAATCTTTTTGCCAATCTTCAGTCTTTATGTATATTAACACATGCAGTGTTAGTTAACATATTAATACTAACACATGTAAATGCATATAAACATTTTTGGGGGTTATAATTACTTTCATCAACACTGCTGAATTCCATTCTACTCTGGAGATTTTTGTATCTACCCTTCGCCCTTTTGGTTATATAATATTAGAGGGAGTAGAAAGAATGACTTCTGAATACCTCCACCGTCGTTACCTCCTATGAGTTAATTTTTAGGGTAACTTTATACAGATGACTATTTTATTTTCATGTTTGCCTATTTACACACAATAAAAGATGAAATACTGACTGAACAGCAAAACCATTGCTATTAAACTGGACAGAGTGAGGACTTTAGCCCATCTTTTCTCCTCCTGCCTATCTGGGCATAATGTATCTCTAAAATGAAAATGATGCAAAGATGGAAGTGAATCAAAGCTGAAAGGAAGGAAGAAAAACAGATGGAAAAAAATCCCTCAAGGGGTGCTCCATGTCCAAGAGACCTCAACAGGCGGTTTCTACCCACCATGGTGACTCATGACCTGCCCAGCAGCCTCCATACTGACATTCTGCAGATAGTTGTGGCAGCGTTCCTTGTGCTCCTCCAGTGAACTGCGCTGCTTGTAGCTCCGGCCACAGTAGTTGCACTTGTGAGGCTTCCCCACTGTGGAAAGAATGAGAGCATCAGGTCAAACCCACTACGACCCATTTTAAAATCGCGCTTTTGCAACAAATAACGCTTGTGATGGAAAGACACCTAAGAAAGGTTACTCAAGTCCCAGACCTTTTTCTCAGCCCCATTTTCCTGCTACACACACCTCCTCCCACCTGATGGGTACTTTGCCCCATCCCTTTTTCACACTAACATGCAATATCAGCAGAAGGCAAAAGAGATGGACTTGGTTGCAAAGCAAACAGGCGACAAGAGGGTAAAACAAACCAAACAGCTGAACCACACCTCAGCACTGCCTGCGTGTCACCAGGTCTTGTGGGAAACAAACTTCTGAGGCACTTTGCCCATCGTACCAACAGTTGCATTCACTCAAATGAGCTGCCCCAGTGGCCTAATTCTGCTCCCAACTGTGAGGAAACCCATTACATAGCCCAGAGGAGTTCTTTCATTAAGAAAATGTTGCCAAAATTACTAAGGGAAGATTGGAAATTAAAAGATAATAGAAAGTAACTTTGGTAACAGGACTGTCACATGCCAGAACTGAGCTTCCACAAGTAATTCACAGAGACTGGATAATATAAAAATACAGATTATATATATATATAAATAAAATATAAAAGGCTATGTACAACAAAAAATCAAGCCACGTGAATATGATTTGTAACTTGAATTTCTTTTTTTTTTGTTTCACTCAGCAGCATTATGAACAAATGTTAAATGCCTCTTAATACATGCAAAACCTGGCACCAGTTTCTCATAAAGTATATTCTCTTCATAGCATGTCATTAAGAAACCACAAGAATGACCTAACCCAAGGCCAGAAAGCTAGCCAGAAGTGTATTATGCCAAGCTGTGCTAATAAAGGCTTTTAATATAATTTAAACTTGTAGAACATGAACATTTATTCTGTAATAACTAAAGAGCTATTAAGTCAGTACTGTAAGTCTAGTAAAACACCACTGGCTGCGATTTTCAGAGCTGGCTGAGGTATGGGGAAGGTCACAGAATCCCAGAATCCCAAGGGTTGGAAGGGACCTCAAGAGATCATCTAGTCCAACCCCCCTGCAAGAGCAGGGTAACCTAGAGTACATCACACAGGAACTTGTCCAGGCGGGCCTTGAATATCTCCAATGTGGGAGACTCCACAACCCCCCTGGGCAACCTGTTCCAGTGCTCAGTCACTCTCACAGTAAAGAAGTTCTTCCTGATGTTAACGTGGAACCTTCTATGCTCCAGTTTACACCCATTGCCCCTTGTCCTATCACTGGACATCACTGAAAAAACCCTAGCTCCATCATCCTGACACCCACCGGTTACATATTTGTAAACACTGATGAGGTCACCCCTCAGTCTCCTCTTCTCCAAGCTGAAGAGACCCAGCTCCTTCAGCCTCTCCTCATAAGGGAGGTGTTCCACTCCCTTAATCATCTTTGTGGCTCTGCACTGGACTCTTTCAAGCAGTTCCCTGTCCTTCTTGAACTGAGGGGCCCAGAACTGGATGCAATATTCCAGATGCGGCCTAACCAAGACAGAATAGAGGGGGAGGAGAACCTCTCTTGACCTACTAACCACACCCTTTTTAATGCACCCCAGGATGCCATTTGCCTTCTTGGCCACAAGGGCACATTGCTGGCTCATGTTCATGCTCCTATCCACCAGGACCCCCAGGTCCCTTTCCCCTTCGCTACTTTCCAGCAGGTCAGTCCCCAACCTGTACTGGTACATGGGGTTGTTCTTCCCCAGATGCAAGACTCTACACTTGCCCTTGTTGAATTTCATCAAATTTCTCCCCACCCAACTCTCCAGCCTGTCCAGGTCTCGCTGAATGGCAGCACAGCCTTCTGGTGTGTCAGCCACTCCTCCCAGTTTAGTGTCATCAGCGAACTTGCTGAGAATACACTCGGTTCCCTCATCCAGGTCGTTGGTGAGAATATTAAACAGCACTGGTTCCAGCACTGACCCCTGAGGGACTCCACTAGTCACAGACCTCCAGCTAGATTCTGCACCATTGACCACAACTCTCTGCCTTCTTCCTTCCAACCAGTTCTTGATCCACCTCACTACCTGATCGTCAAGCCCACACTTCCTTAGCTTATCTATGAGAATGCTGTGGGAGACAGTATCAAATGCCTTACTGAAATCAAGAAAAACCACATCTACTGCTCTACCATCATCCCTCCACCTAGTCACTTCCTCATAGAAGGCTATAAGGTTGGGCAAACATGACTTCCCCCTCATAAAACCATGTTGGCTGTTCTTAATAACCCACTCATCCTTGATATGCCTAGAAATGGAGTCAAGAATAAGTTGTTCCATCACCTTTCCAGGGATGGAGGTAAGGCTGACTGGTCTATAATTACCCGGGTCCTCCTTGCCCTTCTTATAGACTGGTGTGACATTTGCCATCCTCCAATCCTCAGGCACCTCTCCCGTTTCCAACGACTTACCAAAGATGATGGAGAGTGGCCTAGCAATGACCTCCACCAGCTCCCTCAGCACCCGTGGGTGCATCCCATCCGGACCCATCGATTTATAGATGTCCAGATTGCATAGCTGATCCCTAACCCAATCCTCATCTACCAAAGCAAACTCCTCCTTTGTCCTGACTCTTTCTGGGGCAATAGGAATCTGGGCCCCCCGGGGAGAGTCTGCAGGAGTAAAGACAGAGGCAAAGAAGGCATTCAGCACCTCTGCCTTCTTTATATCCTCTGTCTCCAGGGCACCCACCTCGTTCAGCAGTGGGCCTATATTGCCTCTTGTGTTAGTTTTATTTGCTATGTATTTGAAGAAGCCCTTTCTATTGTCCTTAACCCAACTAGCAAGATTAAGTTCCAAGGAGGCTTTAGCTGTCCTAATTGCCTCCCTACATCCTCTAACAACTGTCCTATATTCCTCCCAAGTGGCCAGCCCCTCTTTCCATAATCCATAGATTCTCCTTTTCTACTTGAGTTTGCCCAGCAGCTCCTTGTTTAACCACGCTGGTCTCCTAGCTCCCTTACTTGATTTCCTGACCATTGGGACGCTCAGATCCTGAGCTTGGAAGAAGTGGTGCTTGAATGCTGACCAACTATCTTGAGCCCCTTTACTGTCGAGTACCCTTTTCCATGAGACTTCTCTTAGCAGTTGATTGAACAGGCTAAAATTGGCCCTTCGGAAATCTAGAACTGTGGCCTTGCTAGGTATTCTATTCCTCCCACACAGGATCCTAAACTCCACCATCTCATGGTCACTGCAGCCAAGGCTGTCATTGATTACCACCCCTTCAACCAAACCCTCCTTGCTGGTGAGTACTAAATCTGGCAGTGCTCCTCTCCTAGTTGGTTTGTCCACCATTTGCATTAAGAAGTTATCATCAATGCACTGGAGGAACCTCCTAGACTGTGAATGATTGGCTGTGTGAGTCTTCCAGCAAATAGCGGGATAGTTAAAATCCCCCGTGAGGACTAAGGCATGTAGTCGTGAGGCTACTTCCACTTGCCTGTAGAAAGCCTCATCAACTCCTTCATCCTGATCAGGAGATCTATAATAGACCCCCACAACTGTATCACCCGTACCAGTCTGTCCCTTAATTCGTACCCACAGACATTCCACTTGCTCCTCATCTGGCCCCGGACAGAACTCAATACAATCTAGTTGCTCTCTCACATAAAGAGCGACTCCACCACCTCGCTTTGCTGACCTATCTTTCCTAAAAAGGACATAGCCATCCATGACCACATTCCAGTCATGTGAGCTGTCCCACCATGTCTCTGCAATTGCCACTAGATCATAGCCTTTAGACTGCACACAGACTTCTAACTCCTCCTGTTTATTCCCCAAACTTCTTCCAGAGGTCAAACTTCTTCCAGAGTTCTGAAGATCTTAGAAATTTAGTTTCCAGCCAAAGAAATTCAGAACATCCTTTGCTGGATAATATACGTGTTTCTATTGGGTTTCCACCAATACTGAAAGCTTTTCATGGTCATTTACTTCATGAAATCCAAGCTCTACTAATTACAGTCAAAACGTACTTTCACCACTGGGATGGAGAAAACACAGAGGAAATTGGGGAGGACACCCCTAGCCAACAACAAGCTGGGCAGAGGGCTACTAAACTGGGCGGAGGGCTACTAAACTGGGCAGAGGCTCCTAAGTCCCAGTGCCAGGGAAACTCTCTGGGGCCTCTGCAGGACTAGCACATACCACAGTGTGTGCCCCACATCACCCATATGATGGAAGATGAGAAAGCCTGAGCCTCTAGTATCAGAGTTGGTCAAAAAGCTTCAAATGTTTTCTGTCTCTGAAAAAAGGGATTTGATTAACTGAACACGCTTGCAGAAGTTTCTGTTTTTCTCAAAGAGTTTCTGCATGCAGTTCAGTGACACAACCAAGCTTTCCACCAGGAAGACAGCTGCTTTTGCTAAGCACCCAAACCGTGCATTGATTTTTTTATTATTTCTTTCTAATTTAGAGATAAGGCTTATGCCCAGGAAAATAGTGCCTTACTCCAAAGAGTTGTTGCACTCTTTATTTTATTGTGCTCACTACTTTATGCTGTTGCTGCAGCTGGTGCTGACACTGGAAATCTCAGTGGAGACCAAGCATGAGGCTCATTATCATTCCCAGAGTAATTGCCCTTGATGTGAATGATCTGGATCAAGCCTCAGCTCTTAAACTACCCACTTCATTCCAGAAGCACCTTTAGGAAAACACACTAGCGGCTCCCTAGGATAGACTTTTATCATCACCATCACAATGCTTCATCATGCATCTAGATGGCATCAATGCCTGTCAGCCTGATGCCTTTATTAGAAGCTAACTCCTTGTATAATCAAAAAAATCCGATGCAATTGAAAGCATTAAGCTAACCAAGCTGAAGCAGGGTTGAATTAGCCCACCTGGTTTGGCTACACCAGGTTATCAAGCAACTTAGATAAACTGTAAGACAGGAGGGAAAGGGATGGTTCCTTTCAGCTATTCAAGAGGCAGCTATAATTAATCAAATATATTAT